ATCAGCTGAGGTCATGTCACCTCGCATCACCAGCTTGTGAAGAATAGACACAATCTTGTAATGTGGCTCAAGGATGGGATCACTGCTTCTGGATCTCCGAGCATTGTGCGCAACCTGGACTGCCTTCTTGAGGGTATCCACTAGAAGCTCAAGGCTGATCTTTGAACGCATATCCTTGACGTCAAGCTGGTCGTCAGGAGTCTGGTACATTTTCCAGTAGCATTTGGCAAGCATGTAGGGGTTCCTGATTGCTCATTAGTCTCTTGAATCACGTTATAGGTCACGATTAGAGGCCGAAAAGCTTACTTCCAGTCGTTGGGCTTTCGCTTCATGGCCATCTTGAACAGCTTGGCGGCAAACTTCCAAACCTTGTACTCCTTCATCTGATCATGAAGAATCCGCTTGAAAGTGCCTGCGCCCATGCTTTCAATGAAGAATCGTTCCTGATCGGAATGTTGGAACGGCTCCATGGCAAAAGGCTGGCGACTTGACGCATAAAGTCGCATCGCAAACTTGTGGTACAGGTCGTGAAGAGGGTCGCCATCGTGTGTCTCCACGTCCACATTTCGTGAATGTGAGAGAGCGAGAGTATAGCAATGAATCGCGTTACGCTGGAACTTGACCAGCTCAGGGCGATCCTTATTCATCTTGTCCGCAGTCCATAGAACAGCTTCGTCCAACTCATAGTCGAAGCATTCAGCCAAACGGAACCAAGCGTCCCATCTGTCTGAAGTAAACTGCAACTGAAGCCTCAAGAATGTCGCACCAATTCGCAGGTCGTCAGTTGCACCGGGCGTTTGACGACGGTTCAAATCGACTCCCTTGAATTTGGTCAAGGCCATCATTCCAAGCAAGAAGAACCAACCATGTCTTGCGAGGGCTGTCTCGGGGGTATTGACAGACACCGCGTCCACAGACACGTCTCCCAGGAGAGCCTGGTACAGCCGCAGAGGGTGGATTGGCTTCTTGAGGTACTCGGTAAAGTTACGCAGGTTATGGTACATCTGAGGCGTTGACTTGGTCTGTCCAATAGTCTGCTGCATGTGGTCGATTGTCGTCTTAAGGTCTGACTTGAGAAGATCCTTCATCGGCATACGGTTGGCGAGAATCGTGACCCTCTCAACCAGCTGCATGGTCTGTCGCTTCTCCAGCTTCTCTGGTGGACAAGCGTGATCTTGAACATCCCATACACCAGCACCAAGCTTCAAGCCGTGCAAGTCGTAGAGTACTTGGCCCAAGTAGTCCTCCCAGTTCTCAATGTTCTTGAGCTTGAGAAGCTCCACTCGCATGACCTTGAGGAAGATCTTGTTTGATGCCTTGCAGAACTTGCGAATACCAATGACTTGATGGATGGCAGCCAGGTAATCAGCCAAGTCGTTCTCGGGCCCAATGATGCAGTTTTCTTGGGTGATTCCGGCTTTGAACATGGTGTACTGCAAACACCAAGCTCGGACTTGCATCTCTTTGAGCTTGTTCTTCAGCGACTGGAAAGCGGACTTGGTGGCAGCATTTCCTGATGGCTCTGGCTTGATTCCGATCCTGAATTCGTCCTCGCAGAGAGAAGCGACATGAAGCAAACAGTTGACCTTGGCGAGAGCCACTGAAGTGGACTTGATGTGCTCATCATCAATAATTTCGAATGCTGTGCTTTCGTTCAAGGCGGAAAAGAGCGCCTGGATCAGAAGCTCATCAAGTGACTTCAGAGTCCGCATGAACAACAGCTTCCGAGACTCTGGTGAGGTTTTGGCATATGTCTCGCCCTCAAGGTCAGAGACAATCAGCTCAATACTTTTGAGGCAACAAGAAAACTTCTTGGTCGAATACTTGATAGCATCATACGCATCGCCCAGCCGAGACCACAGAAACAGCCTAAGCTCTGTGCTGCTATTATGAAGGAATTTCCATAGATCTTGCAGCCCCTGGCTCGCGCAATCGGAAATCGACTTTTGATGCTTTTCAGTCGAGCTTTCATCATCTTTGTCTCCAGAATCAGAGTTTGCTTCTGAGGTTGGGGCACAGACGGAAGATGGGTTGAGAACTGGTTCCAATGTCTCGATAACGTGAACAGGGTTCTCCATGTCATCTTGAAAGAGTCCGAGGAAGAAATCCATTGTCGTCAACTTGGAGATTTCTCGGTCAGCAGCGGCTGGTGAGATGGTGGGCATGACCACGTTATTTGGCAACGAAATAACCGGAACCTTCTCGTCGGTCAAGTGATCTCGGAGCGACGTCCACATCAGGAGAATGTGCTCTCGTACTGGGTTGTCTGAGAGAGATGAGACAAAGACAGAAGCCCACAAGAAACGGGCTGAGATGGCATCGTTCGGAGGGCGGTCCAGCAACTGAACATATGTTGAGGCGACGTCAAGCCATCTCCCAAGCCGGTACTTGGTCTCCATCCGAGTCGCGTAATCGACAACGCTGCTAGGGTTGGTGATTCGTTCGTAGATGTCGATGTGAAGCTCGAAAATCATCGGCACGATGGTCTCCAGCTCTGCTAGCCTTTCGGGGGAACCAGCAGCCAGTTCCATTTCGTCCGTGACCCTCTGATATAGCGCTGAGTCCATACGGTTGAGCATCTGAACCACAGACAACTTCATCTTGTCAGACCATTTCGCTGCTGTGTAGCTCTGGCTGACAGCCCGGACCCATTCGAACGCAATGTCCTCGCCTGTCATCCACGATCTGCAACCCCCTATTTTCCTGGCAAAGGATTTGAGGCCCTGTGCCTCGTCGAATGGCGGTGATGATGTCTGGTCTTGCGAACCCGTCTTGGCGTGTTCCAAGAAAGAGGACAGTCCGAGACTGGCTTGCTCGTTTTTGTTGAGAAGAGCTCTGGCAACCTCCTCACGAAAGTCGACAATGACACCGCTCAGATCCTTTGCTGCGAGGTTGGTGATCTTACTGGGTCGATCCTCGGTAGCACACGAGTCTATGAGCTCGGCGATAAAGTCCAATGTCGATTTGTCGTTCACGCCCAAGTTCTCCAAGACACTCTTGGTCATTTTGAAAAGGTTCTGATCAGCACCTTGGTATGGCTGCAGCTGATTCGCAATGAGTGTGCTCGGGTCAGTCGCCTCCTCAGCTTGGAGAGTCTCTCTTCTTCGGACACGCTTGCTGCGCTTCTCTGCCGTGTTCTCCTCATCCGCAGGATCTGGCAGGCCTGCTGTAGACTGCGATCTTTTTCTTGTAGGTGCTCCATTACGATCCTTTTGTGCCTGGTCAGTTGTTTTGTCATCCTCTGGGCTACCGTGTGAGCCATTCTCTTTGCCATCAGACTTCCCATTCTTCTCTTTGGGTTCCTCCTCAGCCGTGTCCCTCTCGGTAGTCTGTTCTGGCTCAGCTGATTTGTCGGTCTCAGCTTGGGTTTCAGGGCTTTCGCTTTGAACCTCAGGAGGTGGTGTTGCCATAACAACATCTTCGAGAGAGCTCTGAACAATGCCATCGCACGTGTCAAACGCTTCTGTTGCATTATCCAGACAAGTTATGAGTTCCGCTCCAAGGTCAGCCCATGACAACACAGGCTTGTTGGCGCCTTTTCGGCCCGGTGTTTGTGATTTGCTCCTCGCGGCATCTTCCGGTGCTTGCTCTTCAACGATAAGAGATTCAGGGGGCGGTGTTAACGATTTGGTGGGGTTGGGGAGAAAAGGGATAGGATCCAGATGGCGCTTGAGCAAGGCAGGCATCTTCTTCTTGAGCCATGGAGCCATCACGGGATGTGACAAGGCCATGTCATCGCCGAGAAGCTGCAATTGGTCCTTCAGCTGCTCACCCGCCAGGCCCTCTGCCAACGAAGGAGGCTCAACCTCCATCACGGCCGGGTCATCATCCAACTCGATCGCAGCCTCTAAACAGTACCGTTTGATACGATTACTGTTCATAGCAGCAGCAAATCGAGCAGCCCGCCTCCAAAGCTCCGGATCCGAGGGGTCTTGGTCAAGGGCAGTGGTCCAGCTGTCCAAGACTTTGCGTGCATCGTCATCGTAGTATTTCAATCGAGGCTTTTCCTTCCAGGTCGGGTTCGAGGCTAGCTCGTCCTTGTACTTGTCCACAAAGAACTGGCCATAGTTCTTGTAGGAAAGATAGAGCGCTTGGGCAAGACTTGCTGCGACGCCATCTGCTCCTCCGGCATCCACGTCGAGCCCGCCATCTGTTTCGACGGTGTCCACGTTGGACACTTCTGGCAGTCCCTCCGCATGTCGCTCGGCTTTTTCGTAGTCGGTTCTCGCTTCACGGTATTTGAATATCTCGGATTCGAAAAGCTCGTCGTATGCGGCCGCAGCGGCTTCGCGCGATCGGGCTCCCTGCGCATGGAGCTTCAGGGCATGTTGGAAACGCTTTAGTGCTTCGTCGACCTAGGGGCAAGTCAGTTTTCAAATTCGATCGCGAAACTTGCGCAATAGGCTTACGTGAAGCTCCTTAGTGGTGTCGATTTGCTCGTCAACGTTCTCCTCGGGCTCGAGGTTGATAGCTTGGAATGCCGGCTGGTTCGAATTAGCACAGAAACAAATATCAGATCAAAATTCTCACCATATTTGCGGTCGCAATAGTCCTGCAGCCGTGGCCGACATCCGTATTTGCTGCTAAGAAATGATTCTGGTCAAACCAGACATTGAAAGTTGTGAGTTTAAACACAGCTCATCCTTCTTGGCAGTCATTAACTCGAGCTCCGTACCGCGTTCTAGACGCGGTCCCACTCAGCCTCGCCAAGCCACAAGCGCCAGATCAAGAGCTGGTAATGAGCACGTGGATGTGGCGCAGGCATAAGGCTGCACGTTCCCAGACGTGGCCCATCCTTGTAGCTCCAGCTATCAAGCCAGATCTTAGGGGCACAGCAACGGTCGGCTTCAACATCTCACTCCAGCTCCACCAACCTTTCGACCGAGTTGCGACCGACATCCCGCGACAGTCTCGTATCTATCAGCACTCAGGAGCTTCGGGCGAATCGACTCTCCACTAGCCGTTGCTCCCTTGCCAGCGATTCCAACGAGGTCGCCGCCATGGTTGCGCCAGCTGTGCCAGAGTGAGCGCGCCCACCATTCAACACTCTACTTGCAATGCGATAGCTTACGCCGATATAGAATCACCGAGGAGATTCTCCACGAGTCGATTGACGCCCGAACCGAATCGCTTGCCGGTCTTCGAGAGCTTGGTCCCCCTGATCTCGTCCACCTGCTGAAGCATGCCGTCCGGAACCCAGCGAAACAGGTATGATACAAAGGCGGCGCATGGAAACCCAAGTGCTGACTCCCCAAGACTGGTGTCTATCACCATGTCACCGGCGTCGATGCGTCCTCCTCAGCCAGTCTTGCCGCATACATCAACACCCTGACCTACAAAGAGACAGGGCCCAATGCGACCAATAAAATTGTTGAGGGCTTGTTCTGGTATGTCGCATGGCTTCCCAAGCTTCCATAGCCAGGTACTAACCCCTCTAGCTGCTACAATGCCTTTTCCCGTCTAGACATGCGCGTGCATGTTTCCATCCCTGGAACCGTAGAGAGCTATTGCGTCGACGAACGAGGCGAGAAGAGAAAGGCTTCAGATGACCTGTGGTTGGAGACGTACCTATGCAGCGTCCTGCGAGCATACTCATACGCCGACGATGGCAGTGGCGACACGATCCGAAAGATTATGGGTGTACGAAGATTCAACCCTGTCACCAACACCGAGACCGAACACCGTTTCCTTCATGCTGCCGAGCAGCTCTTCTTTAGGGGTATGTTCCTTGGTCGCCGGATGTATAACTCAAGCTGACTCTTTAGGATGGCAATTGGGCTCGGACTCGGTGGTTCAGGTGCCTACCAATGTTTCCAACCATTTGACCACAGGTCTCCTCAAGTACCTCGAAACGACCGGCCGATACGCTTCAGGCATCAACCTCTTTGAGAAGCTCCGAACCCAGAGTGTTGAGGTCTCGTCTTTGCTGGCAAAGGTCATGTTCATGGGACATGAGGAGGTTTCGGGTGTCAGGACTCTTCACCAGTCCCTGCAAGAAACCCCAATGGACTATGTCATGCTTGATACTCAGGCCGAATTCCTCATGCACAAGGCCAGCAGCGCCCCCACCCCTGAACTCAGGGAAGAGAGGTTGAAGATGGCTCTGGGCTGTGCGGATCGGGCAACGGTTGCTGCTCCGACCGAGTTTAGCACTTGGGCGAGACTCGCGCAGGTTTACGTGGCCATGGAGGACTGGGACAACGCTCTCACCATCCTCAACTCGTGCCCCATGTTTACCTACCAAGACAAGGACACACCTTTGATGCCAGAGCCAAAGGAGGTCCATCTACCAACCCTCCCCGAGACTCGACTCGACGAGATTGACAGCGAGCCCGAGTCTAGATACTCGGAGCAAGTCGATCCCAGCCTTCTCAACCTGCGCGCGGCGTCGTACCGAGGCACCTTTAAGCAGGCATACGACATCCTGACCGAGATGACGGCCAAGATTGGCTGGGACCAGCTGTTGAAGATTCGCAGCAACGTATTTGTGATGGAGGATGAGTACCGCACAGAAAAGCAAGAGGCTACTCAGCCTGCTTCAACAAAACGCACCCCTAGTATGGATGGTCTGCGCGGCACACCTGATCAAACCACCAACGGAGGGGATGAGTCGGAGAGCGAAACCCCAAAGAAGTCTGCCGAAGTCAGTGCTGAAGCTGGCACTGAAGGAGCCAACGCCCCGGCCACCAACGGCGAAGAGAATGGCATTGAGAAGCCTTCCAACACTATTGACCCTGGCGAGGCCAAGGGAGACAGCGATGTGAGTACTTGACGAACTTCCCTCCTTCGCCGGACTAATAATTGACACAGGCGGCAAAGAATGACGACCATCTGTCCAAGCTCAACACCAAGCGCCTTTGTGAGCGCTGGCTGGACAGCCTTTTCATGGTTCTCTACGAAGACCTGCGTGTCTACACAATCTGGCGTACCCAGATGGCTCAGTACCGCGCTCAGCAGATGCAGTACAAGAAGTCGGCGGAGGAATGGGAGATTCTGGGCTCCCTTGCTGAACGTCTCCAGCACGTTGACGAGGCCGTCGAAGCCTACCGAGCTTGCTTGTCGATCCGATTCAGCCCCAAGGCTTTATCGGGTATCCTACGGGTCTTTGAGAAGACCAAGAGCACGAGGGAGACGGTTGCATCCGTGATCAGACTCGTGACATGGCAGTACAGGTGGTACAGCGAGTTCAGCCCTGAGCTGCTACACACGATACGAACCTTGATCGAGGACGAGGGAGCAGTCAAGGTCCGAAGCATCATCCAGGCAACCAGCCTGCCCCAGAATGTGCTGGACCTGACACACCACTACGCTGCGCTGTGCGCGACGTTCCGAAGCAGCGGCACCGACGGTTAGGTCGAGGCTTTGGTTAGGGTTTTGTAGAACTCATGAGCGAGCGGATTGTAGGCATGGGCATGGATAGATATTTGTAGGATGGATGTATTAGTGGCAAGTTTCGCGGGGCAGCGATAGGTAATTGTTATTAAGAAACCTCGAGGGAGGGTTCAAAAGTTTCAGTTCAACGATACCCCTGTTCCCGGCGACGATTCAGCTGATGTGAATGCTTCTCTTTACGGTAACCGAGCCCAGCCTTGGCCATGTTAGTCCCCTGTAAGCGTATTTGTCTATGGTGAAATCTCTCGTCAGCATCATCACGACCCACGCAATGGCAACACTCGCGAGCCTTGGGACAGAGACGCTGCTTGAGATTTGCAAGTGCTTCTGCGTTCACTGCAGCGGGGATAGTGATCGGCCTCTGACCGTTGGCACATTGCAACAACATGAGTGCCGACGAGTGCAACGACAAGGGTCCCAAGACCCAGATGCTCCATCTTGGTACTCACTGAATCGACACGCCCTCTTTGCGCTCAGCTTAACCTGTCGAGGACTCTACGTCGTTGCCCAAGAGATTCTATATCACGAGTTTATCTTAGGACATGGAGACTCGTGGAAGTCAAAGAAGTACAGCTGGGACAGGCGGCTGACTTCCTTCATGAGGACCATGAGTCGACGCCGCGATCTCGCAGCTCGCGTTCAAAGAGTCTCAATCCACCCACTACTCCTAGAACCTTTCGACAGGCCAAAAGACACCAAAAGACCTCCTCGTCTTATGAGGGCTCCTGCTATTGGTGAAGCGCGCATGGCTCTGAAGAGATCCGCTGCGGCCCTCGGCGTTGACCTGGCCGCCGTTTGGAAACCACGTTGGACCGAGGACCAACTCAGATTGGTATTTCCTTGTGAAGACTTTCTCTCGGCGTTTCTGAACCCCAACAGCAAGAATCGGCGACGTCTCAGAGAGGCCTTGGAGTCAAGCCAGAAAGACCAAGGACATCGGGTGCTGGCAGCTGAGATGGTGGCCATGCTCATAGCTCTCCTCCCAAATCTCCAGCACCTCAGTCTTCTTGAAGATGGCACTCATTGGCCTCAACTCGGTTTCCCCAACCCAGCCTTTAAAGCCTTGGGCGTATCGAACCTACCACTCAAGGTCCTCGATACCGAACTTCCTCGTCGTATGGTCCCAGTGTTGGCAACTAGCCTCGAGGAGCTCAACATCCACCACTGCGAGCAGTTTTACGGCTGCCCCAAGATGCCCGCTCTCAAGATACTCCGCGTCTCTTACGTTGACATCAACAAGGACTACCTCGACACGTTAATGTCTTGCTGCACGGGTGGGCTGCACACTTTCGTGTACGAGACGATGGGACCAGACAGGACGATTGACCAAAACGTCAATGAACACGCCAAGCCTCAGCCCAAAGACATAATCGAGCATCTAGAAACGGGGCACATTGGAACTTTACAAACTCTACACCTGGATATGCGCGTTGGTTACTACGGCGCTGGAGGCAGCGAACAGGTCAACATCCGGCACTTCACGGCACTACTCCATGTCCTGCTAAGCTCCAACGTGATATTCGGATGGCAAGGCAATGAGAATAGCGAAGAAAAGTCGACGCTACTCGCAACTATTCTCCCCGAAACTATCGAGACGTTCTGCGTTGCCTGTCCCGGCCCTCAACGACACACGGCCTCCATCGAAGCAGGACTAATCGGCCTGGCCAATCTCAAGCAGCATCATCCAGAGCGGTTTCCCAAACTCAAGAGCATCAGCGTCTCTGCATTACGACCCTTTGGGAACGAGATCCTGGGGCCAATAATGGAGGCAGCCGGTGTGAGTTTCTGTTTCGAGAGGTGGCCCAGGAGTAAGCCACGAACGATAGGGCTATCAGAGAAGCCGGCATACATTCCAGATTGGAGGCTGGAAGATTTTTTCTCGAGTCTTGTGAGGAGACGGAGAATTTACTGAACTATTGCATCTTTGTTTCTAAATAGTGGAATTGGCCGAGATGATGTTGTTCATGGACCCATGGATGTATTTGGCGAGAATAATGACACTTGAATCTAGAGTATGAACCCACTACTATTTAAGATACCATTGAATTAAGTTATAACGATTATAATAGCAAAGAGGAATCACCCAAACTCTTACCATCAAAGTTCCATCTCCATCGTGAAGCCAACCTGAGCAAACGTGCTGACTCAGCACCCAACCTCTGTAAGTGGCTGCCGACCGCTAACTCGCAGCGGATGACCCCGCGCGGGGCATCCACCATAGCAGCCTTCAACCGCGCCCAAATTTTTGGTCCCCATTTCGTCACTTTTATCTTTTCCATACACAATCTCACCACCGTTGATTTACTGTCCAACTCGATCTACAGCTTATTCGGTCTCCTATCCTATTTCATTCGGGCGACATACACGACGCGATGGCTTCCTCTTCCACAGCTGACGCTCCCGCGGCGTCGTCGCCGCCCGTCGCCATCGTCTGTGTCGGAATGGCAGGCAAGCTAGATCCCACCAGATAGCCCTACATCTTTCCATCTAACATGTTACTCAGGATCTGGAAAGACTACCTTTATGCGCCGCATCAATGCTCACCTCCACCAGAAGGAGACCCCTCCCTATGTCATCAACCTCGACCCCGCCGTCCTCTCCGTGCCCTTCGAGTCCAACATCGACATCCGCGACTCGGTCAACTACGAGGAGGTCATGAAGCAGTACAACCTCGGCCCCAACGGTGGAATCCTGACGTCTCTGAACCTCTTTGCCACAAAGGTTGACCAGATTGTCAACCTGCTCGAGAAGCGCGCCCAGCCCGATCCCGAGAAGCCCGACCGCAAGCCCATTGACAGGATCTTGGTCGACACGCCTGGCCAGATCGAGGTGTTTGTCTGGTCTGCCTCTGGAACCATTCTTCTCGAGTCTCTTGCGTCATCTTTCCCTACCGTCATCGCCTACGTTATCGATACCCCGCGAACTGCTTCCACTTCGACATTCATGTCCAACATGCTCTACGCCTGCTCCATTCTCTACAAGACCAAGCTGCCCATGATTCTCGTCTTCAACAAGACTGATGTCAAGGATGCCGAGTTCGCCAAGGAGTGGATGACCGACTTCGAAGCCTTCCAAGAGGCGCTGCGACGAGATGAGGATTCGGATGCGCTCGGTGGAGTGGAGGGTGGTGGTCACGGAGGAAGCGGATACATGGGCAGCCTGCTCAACTCGATGAGTCTGATGCTAGAGGAGTTTTACGCACACTTGAGTGTGGTTGGAGTGAGTTCGCGACTAGGTACCGGAGTGGACGAGTTCTTCGAGGCGGTTGAAGAGAAGAAGCAAGAGTTTCTACGCGACTACCTCCCTGAGCTGGAGAGGAGAAGGGCAGAGCGCGACGAGCAAAAGAAGGCAGCTCGAGAGAAGGAGCTGGACAAGATGATGCAAGGAATGACGGTTGGCGCACAACCCGCACCCAAGAAGGACGACGACGACGATGTGGACGTTCCGAGCGACGATGATGACACAGACTCTGACGACGAGGCCAAGAAGGAGAGTCTCCAGGAGCGATACCAAGCCGCCATGGGTGACAACGAAGACTCCATCATGGCGGACGCGAGTTTCGCAAAGTACCTCCACACACAGAGGTAACCAAGGAGAAGCAGGCAGCATACATAGGCGGCGTTTAGGGGGTTGGGATAAGGATTTCTTTACCAAAAATGGATTGACGAACGGACGATCTGGGGAGGTTTCATAGCAAAGTTAGATACCAAAGGCAACTTTGAAGCAAAAGATGGAAATAATCAAGATGCAAGTTGTCTTGTGCAAACAATTTGTCGTATTTGTCTATCGGCTTCGTTCAACCAGAAAGTCCCAGACCCCTAAACTCCCATCTCCAAAGTTCAAAATGCCACAACACCCTTCTTTCATTCTTTGTTTCTTTCGACACGCCGTTTGCTCATCGAGCCTCGAACTGGACCATTCTACAGCAAGTTAGCAACAGCGCTGACTAAATTAGAGGACAGAAGTAGAACTTGCCGCTTGGTGCGCTCCTTGTAGAGAACACGGCCAGCGCAGTGCGGGCACGCGACGAGAGCGTCCTTGCCGAGAGTGACGCTACCACCACAGTCACCACAGAGATATGTCATGACAGAGCGTGTCTCGTGCGTCTCGCGGGTACCTCCGCGCTGAGCGGAGCCAGAGGTAGGAACCTGGTATTCTTCGCGAGGCATGTTGCAAAATGTATGTGTTTGTTTGGTTTGGTTGTCGGTTATGCGATAGAAGTCTCGTTGTCGGTGGTGGGGGTGGGAAAAGAAATGCGCAAAGAGTTGCTTGGTCATGGAGGACGGTGAAAGCGAGTTTGTACGGCAGAATTTAGGCGGTGAGAGAAAAAGAATTTGGGGAGGGACGTACTGGAGCTTGGGGTCAAGGATGGATGCGACAAGGCAACCATTCATGAGCTGTGTCGGCATTTCAATGTAATAATACAGTCGCTATGAGCCGTGCATTTCTTGTTCGCTCTCATGATGTATGCAGATTTTACTCGTTCTTAATTAACAATTCACTGTCAAGATATCCGTTTCTGGGCCCAATTCAGCGACTCGCCACGCCGAAAGTCAGAACGCATCTTTTCAAAGCATAGCTACGGTAGCTTATTCAAGTGACCCCTACCTCAATCAATGCATTTCATCTCTTGGCTCAGTCCATCATAGTTAAACACCCGGGTTACCATTGCTCCCCGTCCACAGTAGCAACCCCAGACGTCCTTGTGACAGCTCTTCCCGTGGGGTGACTCGGCTCCCTTTCCAGGTGCAATTGCGCAACTGAGGCAAGAATAACAACGTGAGAAAAATCTCCATCATACCAGATAAACACCCATTCCTACATCTCCAATTCTACAGCCTCTTCCTCTTTCTCTCCAAATGTTAAACCTCGCGCTCGCTTTCCTATCTCGACCGTTCCCCAACCAATGAACCACTAAGACACCTCTGGTTAGCAAGGACCAGTTCAAGCACCCCACGCTACAAAAACTCCACTAAACCCCTGTCGGCGCAAGCTCCCAGATCTCCCAAATCTCGGGGGGGGGGAGTACCTCGGTTTCTCTCCACACTCATGATCTTGAACCTTTTTCATTTCTCTACGCATCGTGACTTGAACCTGTTGTCTTTTATTTCAATCTCGCGCTTCTCTGAACGCTTAATCTCTTCTCTTCTTAATTAATAACTATCCAACTCAAGACCCTACCATGTTCGATCCATCTACTCCTCCAACAGCTTGTTGCCCCTTCTGCACAATCTGCACCATCTTCAAGCCCTATGATCCTCTCAACCCTCCTCCCCAATCATCACCATCAATAGACCCCGAGCTCGTATCCCCTGCATCCTTCATCGTGCTCTCCACCCCGACACTTATCGCCTTTCTCGACATCCTACCTCTCAGCCGCGGTCACCTCCTCCTCTGCCCAAGACCTCATCGCCCCAAGCTTACCGACGTGACCGACTCCGAGTCCGCAGAGCTGGGTCGTTATCTGCGCGTTTTATCCAAGGCGACGGCTCGCGCCACAGGTGTTGAAGACTGGAACGTGGTGCAGAACAACGGCGCTGCTGCTGCCCAGGTCGTTCCTCACATGCACTTCCACATCATCCCCAGACCGGAAATTCGCGCCAGCGGTAGGTTCAGTGAGAGCTTTACCATGTTTGGAAGAGGGAAGCGGGAGGAGCTGGATGATGATGAGGCAGCCCAGTTGGCTGAGGAGCTGAGGCAGAGTGTCGCCGCCGTCCTGAAGGAAGAGGAGGAGGAGAGTAAGAAGGCCAAACTATAGAGTCAAGTTGAGCAGCAGTTTCTTGTTGTCTCATTGGTCACTCTTCGGATCAGCGTGCCATTTTGGGGTCTCTTTATTACATTCTCATATCTCTATCCAATACCCATGACATGTAAGTCTTGTCAGTACACACCTTTATCAACCTTTACTCATCATCTCCAAAGAAGACCTTCTTGGGCAAGAACCCATCCCCGACAACCTTGAACCGGGTCTCGATCCCATCCAGCATATCCATCTCGTCGTCCGTCAGCTCCCACCCATCCAGATCCAGGTTGGACTCGATCCGCGAAGGCGTAACGCTCTTGGGGACGACGCTCCAGCCCTTTTGCAGTCCCCACTGCAGCAACACCTGCTGTGGCGTCTTGCCCTTTGCATTGGCGATGTCGACCAGGATCTTGTTACGGGACAGACCCAAGTGGGCTGAACCCAGGCACGAGTATCCTTCGGTGTGGATGCCCTTGGAGGTGTTGTAGGCGACCAGCTTGGGGGAGGGGTTGCACGGATGCAGCTCGATCTGGTTGACAGCGGGGACGACCTGCACTGTCAGCTATGAACTCTCGACATCTTGAGCAAAGATACCTACCTTGGTAGAAGGGCTATTGAGCAACTCCTCAAGATGTCTGATACCAAAGTTGGACACACCAATATTGCGAACCTTTCCCCCATCCAACAACCTCTGCATCTCAGCCCAAGTATCAACAAAATCCCAATCCCGATACAAGTTGGCAGGATCATCCGCATCCCTCGAGCAAGGCCAATGAATCAAGTACAAGTCGACATAATCAAGTCCAAGATTCTTCAGACTCGTCTCCAAGCCCTCGCGAACATGCTTGTGCCAGTTGTTGCGCAGCTTGGACGTGACCCAGATTTCTTCGCGGGGGACGCCAGAGGCGCGGATCCCGTTGCCGACTTCTTGCTCGTTGCCGTAGGCGAGGGCCGTGTCGATGTGGCGGTAGCCCGCACGGAGGGCTGTCTCGACGGCGGTTGAGACTTGACGGGGGTTGGAGCGCCAGGTTCCTAGGCCGACGGCGGGGATCTCGTCGCCTGTGTTGAGGATGAAGGTGCGGCTAGGGTACATTAGCATGTCGAGGGCCATCACGAAAGGGTATAGGGAAGACTTGCGTGTCAGGCTGAAGGGGAGCCATGGTTGGCGATAGACTCAGTTGTGGGTGCGGTATGAAGTCGATGTTGTCGCTATCAAGATGGACACTGAAGTAGCAGGCTCTCAGTCTCGCTGCAAGGTTGTTGATGGATTCAAACTATGAATAAGATCAAAAAACTTTGTTTATATACCCAGACTTCCTCGTCGATAATTCACCCTTTCATCCCATCTACTCTCCATAATGCCGCTATTCTGTACCTCTACCGACTGCCTGGTGGCCAATCTACCTTTTATCCTCTAGGCATCTAACAATCCAAGTATGCCTACATACGCCGAGTACATGCACTTCACCAGCATATACATTCATCCCACGGTCTTGTCACATCTCGAGGTCACATAGATGCCATATACCACTGTGAACAACTCATTCATCCAAGTCAAGTCAACCACATAAGCTTCAACAAAGGCCCATGCACCACAAGGCATACAAACGTCAGTAATCACAACGTCCCCTCTTTAACAACTCATCACCCAATCATCACATACAAGACAAAAGAGTCAAAGCCAACCCTGAATAGTGGCAAAAAAGAGTTGAGATTCCTAATCTGACAAATGAGAAAAAATCCCATACACACACATAAGCATTCAAGTAGAGCAAGAGAAACATGGGATTTTTTTTCCCCCCACGACATAAACCACATCCTTGTTATTATCCCATATTCCATGACTCCTTTGCGCGATCTAACAACCGCATTTCTCCCAAGTCCAAGCATACGCCCCTTGAGATTAACTACGTCCTTTCCTTCCGTTACTTTTTTTTAACGTTTTTCACTCTTTTTTGTTATTCACTTGTTGCCTCCCAATACGCCCCTTATCCTTATCCCCTTTTTGTTCCATCCCATCCCCCTTTACTCTGTATTCCTATACCCTTTTTTACGTGAAACCTCTAAACTAAACATCTACCACCCATCCTCCCCTCCAACCCCCCAATCCTCCCTCTAAGCTCTCTCCTTTCCCTCTCCAGTCTAGAAGTCTGCCTCTCCAGCGCGCGGATCCTCTCACGAGCCAGATCAAGCACCTCGGCCTTGCTGACCCTGCGATCGCTCGCGACGCCGCCTTCACGGCCAGGTGGGGGAAGTACGGCGAGTAGCCGCTCAAAGTGCGTGTTGAGACGCTTGCGGTACTGCTGCTCTACCTGGTTGTGAGCTGCCCGTGCCTTGACCTCTTCAACAGTCTCGGACGGATGCCGCGGCTTGGTGGCTGCGGCTCCTCGCTTCTTGGGAGCTCGAGACGCAGTGCGAAGCTGCGTGTGAGGCCGCTTGCCTCCCTTTGTCTTGTCAGCGCCTCGCTTACGCTTCTTGGGCGCTGGTTCCTCTTCTTCCTCTTCTTCCTCGTCCTCATCGCGGTCTGGATTGTCGTCCTCGGCCCCTGACTCGGCGGCAGACAGCTCGTCGGCCATGGGCGGGGTGGGCAGGAATGTCGCTGCGGGGGACACGTGGGCAGGCCAGACGGTGCCGAGGGACGGGCTGGCTGAGGAGCCGCCGGTCAGGTCGTAGCCGTCGGAAAGCGAGGTAGAGGTACGGTGAGACGAGCGGACGGGGAACTGGCCCGGGGTAGCGGGCGGGATTGCGTAGCCGCTCGAGGAAAAGTCCCCAAAAGGCCGGTCAAGGTAGGCAAAGTCAGCCATGGGGGAGGGGAAGACGGTGTTGTCGAGACTGGGCGTCTCTGGGGACTGAAGAGAAGTCTGCTGAGTGTATCTGTCAGCTGGTGCATCCTCGCTGTCAAGGTGAAAAGACAACTTACAGGTGAAGCCTCGTATGAAGCATCCAGACCGGAGAAGGGCATGGCAGCGGCGTCCATGCTGCTCATCCAGTTGTCAGACAAGCCGCCGCCGAAGCGTGCTCCTCCGCGCTCCCCGTCCGCGGCGTCGAGATAAGTCGAGCTCATCATTGTAAAAGAGTAGAACCCGTTTTAACGGTTATCCGCAAATACCAAAAGTAATACGAGGTTGTCCTTGAACCCCGTCATCACGTATGGGCCGTGAAACGTATGTCGTCGTGTGTGTTTGTGTGTATCAGTATGGCTTTGCTGATTTTCTTTGTGTCGTAATATGTGTTGTTTGTTTAAAAAGAAGGGGGGGTTCTTGTTATAGGCAGTTAAGTAGGCGGCAGACTTGTAGTCTCGAGGCTGCTCGGATGTCTGATACTGTTGACAAGCCGCAAGCCATCACGGAACTTTCGAATTCTGCGCTCTTGTTTGTTATCGTCTTTTGTTTTCTGTGGAAATCGAGAAAAGAGACTTGTACAGGACAAAAAAAAAAGACAGACGAGAGACAGAAAGGGTCAGGTTCCCGTTTGTAAATGTAGGATCTCCGGGGCTGGACAGGTCCCCTTTTATACACAACAGCCCGTCTTATCGAATAGGCCCAAGCCCCCAAAACCAACCCAACCACACCGGGGGACGGAGTGCCAAGGAATCTTTTTTTCCTCTTTTTTTTACACCAGGCAGGCTCCTTTCACATAAACCGAGTCAAGCACAAAACCCGATGGGGAAGGGGTGTGCCAATGTGTGAATGTGAAAAGAGACGAGCGCAAACAAGGGGTCATGACGGGAACGGTCTCCTAGAGGACGGGACTGGGGTTGGTTGGTCCTCCTTCACACCCCCCATAGGTAGGCCGCTCCTCGGAGTGCAGCAGAGCAACACGACAGGACCATCACCAGAGGGAAGAGGCATCCATCAAGCCGTAACCGAGGCGTAGCCGGAAAAAAGAGACCACTCTCCGCTTCAGGACCTATCCTGTCCAATGTGATGCATCACAACTGCCATCGGCCGGTTGCTTCGCTTAAGCCCGGGGTGTGTGGACAGAGTTTCTGTACGGGCATACCGTAAGAGTCAAAAAAGATACAGACCAAATCCCACTAAACGGGCCAATACAAATCGCTATAAGTTACACAAGGGCGTCGCCCGCCTCCGCGAGAAGAGAAAGCACAAGCAGAGGGCCAAGGAATAAGTCTTGGCGGGAGGCAAGGATTGGGCATTCTCTTAGTAAATCCGGGCCCTGGGACACCTAATAGCCACGTAAGAGCAACTCATGGTGTGCAACTCGCTGCTCGGCCTGTGGTCCTCTCGGGGTCCTTTTCCTGTGTGTGCTGGCCTCGTGATGTGCTTATGGGGGAGGATTTGTTGTAGTCTCATCCGACTCTGCATCTTGAACGCTCATACCCATTATTTCCCCCTCACCCAAGGCTTGTCGTCTAAACAAGACCACATCTGACAGCCGACAAATAAAAAAACACAACACGGTCTGGGGGAGAGAGTGAAAGGGTGTTAGGGAGGGGCGGAAAAGTGTGGGTGGTCTGAGTTTATCCCCGGCCTTTTTCCCCCAGCCCAAGGATGGATCCCCTTTGACTAACCTCAATCTCGTTTGCCTTGGAACGTGCCCTTTTGCTACCTCGTGGGGATGTGCCCTTTCACTGCCGACGTGGGGATCGGCGATGACGACCGTGGGAACTATGTAAGATTTCCATGTCCGCCCTGTGGTTTTTTTGATGCTTTGCTGGGTCACATGAGGTCTCCCAACTGGGATGTTCGGTTTGAAAGCTATCCATGTCCGGTTCCGCCTGTTGGTTCTTGGGTAATGGTAATGGGAAATATCTGGGGCCTGAAAGACTTGGCGCACCAGAGATTTGTCTTGGAAGAGTTTCGAAGTAAAAAGACCTTTTTCTTTTACTCTTGACCGAAGTAGGGGAGGGATACCTAGGGTTACCATCACCCCCCATCTGCTGCCCCAGGACATTTCATCAAATCGTGGCATCATCGTAGGATACTCGTCCTACCATCGTTGGACACTTCTCGATCCGCCCGCCCGCGAATCTCCAGATAGGATCTTTGTCTGTATCCGAGGGTAACTGTTTTTTCTGGGCGTTGGTCCATGCCTCGGAGTTGCATCTCCCATGTCAAAAGACTACGGACTTGACTCGGGATCCCTTCCTCTCCCCATGGTGTTTGTATCGCACCATTTGTGACTTGATGATCTCACCGTTTCGAATCCGGGGTAATCGAGTTGGCGGACATTGGCCTCCGTCTGTTCGGTCAACAGCTGGGAAATACGGATGGGAAGAATAGATGGGCTTCTTGGTACCGTCTCTTTGTCCAGCGGCACAGCAAGTAGGTAGACTGACTACCTGAGGTATGAGTCAACGGTGTAGTTCGCCCATGTACATACAAGAAACTATGCCATACTCTCCAAACCTCATGCCATTGCCACGTTTCCCTACAGGACATCCGGTCCAAACCTCTACTGCCGACCACCTGCCGAAGGGTCACCCTCGCTATCCCATCCTCCCGGGACAAACTTGCATCTCTCTCCACCCTCCAACTCCAGCAAGTACGTACAATACCAAAACATCATGACCTTCACCAGTTCCCCCATATTCCCATCTCCCCAACGTCCTCAGCCCTACCCGTTGCGGAGTTTCTTCACGCCCCCTCTCAACCAATGATGATTTATCACAGCCCTCAAGGGTAAAGTTCAGGGCAGGGGGTGAACGGGACATGTCACGAACATGTCGTCTGCGGCTTTTTTTCCTTTTCCTTCCATCTACCCTCCCCCCCAGATCCCAGGGGGGAGGATACATGTATACATCAACTCATTTTGATGATTATTTTAAACATGAACCTGCGTCAGTCTAGGCAAAACGTGGTTTCGGGCGATCGGTAAGTGGGCTCTTCTGTGCGCGACGGGTAGATCTGATCGGAACACGGATCTCTCCTGTGCGTTTGATGACTTGCGTTGTTTTTCATGACCTGGCAAAGTTGCTGATTTTTGGGTGATGGACAATGCTTGCGGTATAAAGGGGGCCTGATACCCAGATGGATGTATTGCTCTGGATGAACACTTCTTGGAATCTTCAACAACATATATCTCAACATGATATCCAAGACCAACATGCCCACCCTATACCTATACCGATGCCTATCCTATCCCATACCCGACCACGCAAGTGACGACAACATGATATCAAGAGACCCCTTTCGGTAACTCAACGCTGTCCAAGCACCTGTCCGAGTGTACATGACCGACGATAACGATCCAAGACGCGTCAAAAAGGAACGAGTTGCTATATAAAAACGACCCAACACGAGACATCACTCGCCACCAGCCGTGACAGCCTTGGGCTCTGGAGTCTCGGTCGCAGCAGGTGCCTCGGGGGCCTTGATGGTCTCCTTGGCCGGAGCAGGGACGTCGGCCGCGTCTTCATCAGCCTCGGCGTCCTCCTCGTCTTCTGCTTCAGCGTCTTCCTCTTCTTCTTCTGGCTCATCTTCTTCCTCGGCGGCGTCACCGTTGGGGACCTCTTCGCCCGAAGCCTCGGTCGTCTTGCGCTTCTTTACGGGTGGCTCGACTGTGTCCAAGGAATCAGCTTGATCCAACTCGAGGCAGGGCGGTCGCCCGTGATAGTGATGATGGATGGAAGGAGTGGATAGACCGGGCTGGCTCAGCTCGACCAACTTCGAAGCAAACTCACCCTTTTCTTCAGGCTCGTCGCCCTCTTCATCATCCTCTTCCTCCTCCTCGGCATCCTCGTCCTCTTCGCTCTGTTCCTCTTCATCTCCGGTCGAGATGTACCTGATTCGGACCAAGGTCAGCGCGACGTCATCAACTAGACAACACCATCAAGCAAACGGCGGGATCATTCTGATCGCGACACCACAAAAAGAAGAAGGGCGACCCAAGAAATGGGGATAGCGAGCTATCGCGACCGCGGCACCCTGAGCTGCGCATGCAGGCGGGATCGACCATGGCCATGATCGCATCTCATCACATTATATGCGACAACTGCGCGACGCGCATACATGGGAGCGGCGCAACGAATAGCGCAGCGCGAGGGGAATGCGCGATTGGGCAATTGAAACCTCGCCCCAAAAGTCAAAGGAGGGAGCAAAAACACAACAAAACAACTTGGGATAAGATGCAGAGAGTAGAGAATAGAACATACTCCTCTTCCTCCTCGCCATCATCGTCTTCAGGCAGGGAGACGAGCTCCTCCTCCTCCTCGTCTTGCTTTCTCTTGCGGGACATGGTTGCGGATTTGGGAGTGATGTAATAGAACTAGCGAGTTGCGATTGACAAGTTCAGGAGTATAAAAAGCTACTCTCGAGGGGAACGAGAGGGTTTTAAAGGTTGACCAAGGCACAGCACGAGATAGGCAAGCTAGACAGGACCAGAACAGAAGAGAGGAGAGAGAGGGAGAGTCAGGGGGAGTGGGAACGGCAGAGGGTGGGAGAGCAGACTGCGTGCGCGTGGGCGAGAGGAGGAGGGCGACAGACAAGAGCTCAAGTGAGGGAGCTTCGAGTCCAGCCAATTGCGGCTGTCACAGTCATCCCATCACTGGATACACTCCAGGATCACTGGGGGGGATATCACTAACAGGACTCAGGTAGGAATACATGGGAATGCGAACAAACATCGCGACAACCAGAGGTACCGGCCCACGAGCCCGTCATCCAAGGATGGATTGGGTGGGTAGGCTGGGCTGGCGGGCAAGCTCAGGCAAGCTTACACACTGAGTGCCTGCAAACAGCCAGGTCAGGTCGATCAGGGCGACCGACGACTCGAGACGCGCAATGGGCCAGATTAAGCCGGCGCCCAATCAGAACTACCGACTGAGCTAGTCTGTCTGGCGCAGAGCTGCTCGTACCCCGGAAAGCATCGAGGTGGCCTCTTGCTTTCGCCTCTCCCGCTCTCCGCATCATTTATTGTACCTCGAGACCTCGCCAGCATGACATGGCATGGGCGAAACGAGGGTCTTGAGAGAGGGGGAGGGCGGGGGCCCGGTGTCGAGGGAGGGACAGAGCAGAGAGCCTGGGGACGCGGACCTCTCTAACCTGGGGTTCCAGGTGGCTGGAAATGCCCACTCGGAATCCGTCACCAAGCAAACAGACTGCTTGGTCATCCTCTGCGGGCGACGGCGGGTGACGTAGGACTTTCACATTCGCACTCGAGGGAATTGTCTCGCAGGGACAAGTCCGTTGTGCTCATCCACTGAAAAATAACGCCCTTTCAGCTTGTCCTGACACTAGAGCTCCGTCATGCCCTGTCAAGAACTGTCATGGTCCATGCTAGGGAACCCGTAGAGCTGCCAAAATTCTCCATGATAAGCCGTTCATGTCGTTTGGTGCACCGCCATTCATCTTCTTGTCAGTTGAGAAGACGCGGTGTCGGTTAACTGCACTTTCGTGGCCGAGGACAAGGGCGAAGGGAACAGAAGAGCTCTGTAACATCTCACCTCCATGAGACGAGAGCTCTGGGAGCTCGGACCCTCTTCTGAGATGGGAGGGATGTGATGGACGGATGACTCGGCTCCAGTTTCTCCGGGTTGTTCTGGACGGAGAAGCTGATGCGGTTGGACGACTCCCTCCTGAGCAGTGCATCCGACAAACAGCCGGAGGCTAAGATGGCTGTGGGCGAGGATGGCACGGGTCGGGCCAAGGTTGGCGTCATAGATGCGTGGTGATGAGATGCTTGGAGGGGGCTCAGCTGGAGCTGAACTGCAAGGTCTTTGCCGATCACGTGGAGGAAACGTGAACGGGCATCTTCGCCTTCAGCTTCAGGGTAGGTGCAATGGCGTCGAGTGCGCAGATGAAAGCTCAACTTACCCCGTACTCAGCTTCAGCTTCGGCATTCAGGCCATTGACCATTGCTGGATTAGCAACTCAATTCCTGTTCTCGTGTTCGGCGTGCTCAATTCAGTTCGTTGTTCGGTTGACACGGCGATGCAAACACCTGAACTGATGCGTGCTTCTCAGCGCCTCTCAACTGCATGTTCGAGGCGCGGTCCAAATGGCTGTGCTGGGCATGTGCTTGATTCCGCGTTCCTCGCTGGCTAGGCGAAAAGCACTTCCGAGTTCCTGAGAGGTTCAGGTGAGAAGAGAGGAGATAAAAAAGAGGCAAAAAAAGAAAATAAAGTGCAAAGGCCCTGCGGGGTTTGGATCATTGTCTCAATCTCCCATGCACCAACTCACGTCCATTGGTGATTCCCCAGCACGCTTTCGCAAGGTTGTCTGTGCCTTGCATCAGCTCACCGTTTAGTTTAGTCTTCTTGGCTGCTTCAAGGCACAAACGATCGATGCCAAAGGGCGCAGTAGCGCTTGCAAATCTCACGATGCATGTTCGGATGCGAAGCTGGGGCGCAGTCTGCCTCGTCGGAACATGACCCAAGGCCAGCTCGGCAATCATGTATTTTTTCCGAGGCTTGCCATGGTGATGCCTCTACTGCTCCGACTGTCGGTCCTCTCATCAAAAAGACCGGGGCAGATTACCAGATCCAACACCTGCAAGTCTAGACTGATGACCAAGGTCGAGATGGCAGGCAGGCAGATTTTGGCTGAAACGGTAGTCGACGAGCGAATCGCTTCCCGTCGAGATGAAGCTGATGAAAGGGCATGTCCGAGCCCGGCATATTGGGCGCCAACCCGCTAGCATCACCTCGGCCAGCCTTTTTCTGCTCATGCTCAAGCTTTTCACACCGATCTGCCGCTCCGCCAGCACACGGGAGCCGGACCGTTTCTGCAAACCAAGGAAATTCGCTTCATGTTGGGGTGATGCTAGCATCAAATGAGGGTTAAACCGTGGGGATGGTGGTTGAATGGTCTGTCGCGCTTGTTGGTGCCTCGGTCCGTGTAAGTCGACGCGCGCCTCTTGCCATCGACGCGTTCTATAATGTTTTGTTGGCATTTAAACAAACAAAACGCCGCTTTCCAGGGCGACGGCTAATGAAGATGGGGATGGGACGGGGCCCATGAGATTCTAGCCTTGGACCTCGATGTCATCGTGACCCGGCGAGTCGGAGTCAGCACAACTCATGGCATCCTTGCTGGGCTGCGGAGATGAGCATGCACGTCCATCCATTGACCCTAGGTCGCATACAGGGGATGCACGAGTTATGCAGCCAGTTTGTTTGCTCCGATGCTCATGCTCACATGCTCCGAGCTAGTATCTGCCGGATGTTTGTCTTGGTGCCTCACGCATGTCTCGCAGGTTGGAATGGGAGTCCCCATGCTGTGCCGTTACGATTAGCCAATCTAATCGGCTACTTTGATTGATATTATGTCCAGGCGAAGCCATTGCATCAGCGGACAGCGCCAAGTAAAGATGATGCATTCTCATAGCTATATCCATAGGATGGATGCTCCAGATCCGCCGGCCTTGGATCATACCGGAGCTGACAAACATCATCTCCAGCTCACATGCAGGTCAGCCAGCCAGTATTCCACCCAGTTGTCATACTTGCTGCGTCCGTATGTTTGCTCCATCGAGGCTGATGTCCTCCCAAGGCTCACTCAACAGCCAGCCGACAGGGGGCCACGAGGTCTCCATCAAAAGTGGGGGAGTAGCAAGCTCAGGTTTCCTGCAGGTCGGAAAATGAGTCCGCCAAAAGTTTCCAGAAGGCAACGCTCTCATTGCCGATCTTTTGCGCTTCAAATTCTTGTTTTTGCTTTTTTAAACTTCCACCAGCTGCGGAGGAAACGAGATGAGATGCCCTCTGATTCCCCCGCGTAAGTGGTCGCGATCGAGAGCGCTAAGGCGCTGAGATGGAGTCTTGATGCGCGTTTGGGCGGCGCTGAGAGTCCTGCGTGTTGTTGAGCATTAGCCTTTTCCCCTTGCACGTCAGCTTGCCAGCTGGACGTCACTCTCGCTTTGCTTTGCGTAATATTGCCGGGATGTGACTCTGGAAACTTGGTGTTTCTTTGCGAGCCTCATGGTAAGTGGAGAGGGCGCAAGAACTCGCCCGAGTCCCAGGCGGCCGATGCTATTGTCAAGGTTGAGTTGTTAACAAGATGATTACGGAGCATCAAGCGAGAGAGCGGGCAGTCCCATGATCCTTGCTTGTCATCTCGACTGTAGATCCAGGAATTGTACCAGAAGCCTCGGAAGGCAAGGGTGAGAATCCTGCCTTGTTGATCCTCCTCCCTCCGCACGCATCGAATCGTGGCCAATCGAGATTGAACAGCGACCAGCTCATCCAGGCGCCTCCTTGTGAGTGCAGTGCATTGCTGCGGTACGTCACGACGCGATGCAACGCGCGATGCAGCCCAGCGAGTCGGAACACACGGGGAGCATGAACACATATGGAGAACCGGAGCACAGAGCTCGATGTTTGCTGTGCCTTGGTAATGCCGTGACCCGTCGACGTAATGCATCGAGCATATGCTGTAATATCCTGGATACGGGTGCAGCTTCATTAATTGCGAGACGGCGTTTGGACGGTGATGGGATGTGGGATAAAACAGGGTTGCATCATGTCCCTGCAGATGCAAGCCCGAAGCCACACGGTTGGAATGAGATAATCCAGGCACAGAACGGATCCCATTGGCCGTCTTGGCGGGTTCCTCCACCTCGGCCAAAGTGTGACTGTCTTTTTTGACGCCATCAAGACTTGAGCTTTTTACCCTCCGCTCAGTCTCTCCCTTCCTCGTCCAGGGCAGAGGAAACCTAACGGGGCTTTGCGACGCTAAGAAAGGGGAGATGACTACCCGATGTGGGTAATGGCATTCGGGCATGACGGCGGCGCCGCTTGTGTGCATTTGGAACGAACGTTAGCGGGAGGAGCCCGCTGGGACCCAAACGTTGGAGCGCCTCTGGGTCGGCTCCCTTTCCGGAGCCATGTGCTGTGAGCCCAGGGTAGCTGACCAACTGGAGAGGCGACGCTGGAGATGGTGGCAGCTCTGGGCTCACGGGTTGATATTAGTTTCCTTTCTTTTTCTCAGCCTTTGCCCGGCTGTCAGTGTGCCTCTCAGATCTCGCTCGTCCTTCCAAGTTGACTTTGAGACGGGAGTAACCCTTCTCCTCGTGGCCTGAGAATAAAACTGTTGAGAATGGACGCATGTGACTGCACTGCTACTGTACCACAATGGTGCAACCAGACACACCACCATATGAGCATGAATTATGTCAACGGCTGTGGAGGAGACCACTACAAGAGGGGCAGGTTTAATTTGCATCCCATCCATAGTCGAGAGGGGAAAAGGCTGCTCCTCCAAGTCCCAACGAGGCTTGCCTGGTTCTAGATTGGATGTAGGGAGGGACGTTATACTAGCACCGAATAAGAGGCCTATTCGAAACAAGGATAGGACTACAAAGACGAGATTCATCATGGCGCGCATCGTCTGAATAGACTATTCGACCGATGCTTGTGAAAAGTGAGTGATCGCGAGGTTGAAAAGTCTTTTTTCTTGCTTGCTTTTCTGTTGATCTCTAGCTCTTTTCTGATGCCCCTGCGCTTCCCGCTCTACTTCCCCTGTGACTGCGGTTGCGAGACTCGTCACAGACATAGACACGCGCTCGTGCTGTCTCTCTTGAGCCTGATCCAGAACCTCTCCCTTGTCCATATCCAAAAACTCCAAGCCTCGGATTCACGAGCATCCCCATACGAATACATACATGGCGAGATCAGATCACCCCCTGTCTTGCTCAGCTGCAGCATCAACCACCAAGAGACCAACCGTTCTGGTTGGAACCACCTCCTCGGAGCGCCCTTTTCTCTTTGCTTCTCCCATTTACCCTAGTCTCTGCTCTTCTGCCTCTTATTTTTTCCCACCAAACCCTTTGGCCAGATCCTATACCCTTGTCACTGGCTGGGGTCGACTGACTCAATAATTGCCCCCCCTCGCTCCAGCAGCCTAGCGTCCGTCCGAAAAAGGGCACAGCACTCCTAGGTTAGCTGAAGGAAGGGCCCAGCGAGCAAACGAACCGACTGATCCTAACTGGCTTCCCCGGGCACGACTTGAGCCCATTCGGCCAATAGCGACGCGCAAGCTCGTCTGCTTGCTCTCTTTGGTGGTCTCTGATCGACTGACCTGCTTCGCTCGAGAGCATATCCGAAAAAGACGGGAGACGACAGCCAAACGGAAAGCTCGCCGCTTGGACGTTGCGTTGACAGCCACTACACTCCTGCAAACTGGCAGGCCTCTCTTTTTTTGTCTCCCTCTTTCCCCTGGACGACTTCTTTTTTGACGTGCTTTTTTCTTTTCCTTCGGTTTGGTCTGGCCTTGTCTTTTCTTCCCCGCCACCTGCCACTTTTTTGACTCCTGGGTCTCTCTTGTTTGTCTCATTTCCATTCCCTGGATCCCCTCTCAAGAATCCCCATCCAGGCTCTCTTCTTCCTTGTCGTCTGCGCCGACAAACCCCCGTCAACTCCAATTCGATTATTGCACGAGCCTGGGCTTTGCTTCCCGATATCCGCTTCCTTCTCTCAACTCGACTCCTTTGGCGACCCTCGGATTCAATCAACACTCTCCCTTTGCGCGTGAGAGCCTCGTGTGTCGTGCTTATTACAGCATCGCCCCGAGCTCCCTGGTAGTCGACCCTGGTGCTTATGACCTGGACCCCATCCCATCCTGGTCGTGAAATCAACCTACCCGCTCTGCCTACCTATCCGGCTTCCCCGTCGAGTCCTGTGCAGGGTGCGTGATTGCGTACGTGCGATTTTCGCTCTCACTTTGGGGCACCGGTTTGAGGTCATTCATTCATTCTCGTGCTTGCTCACTTCTTGGGCTGCCGGCTGGGTTGTCTTGTCTGTTTGAGACGAGACTCGGCGTCCATTCTTTGACGACCGCCGCACCGTTGGGCCTCGACTGAGCCCTGTCATTTCCCTGGGGAACTGTAACCAACACGGGCAAAATCGATCCTTTCCAAGGGCGAAAGGTTTTCGCTTCGTTCGTTTTTAACACCTAGCCTTCCGATTGTCTCGACATTCATTCTCGCTGCCTGTGGCCTTGTCTGTCCTTGGCGCTATCCGATTTCGAATCCGAAAAAAAGTAGACTGCTCGTGCATGTGTCACTTGCGACCCGGACCGACGGACAAGATCTGCCTCGAGGCCTCGATTCGACCTCGGAAACAAACACCATCTCTTCTTCTCCCAGGTCATGATTCAGTGGCGATGGCCAAGAGCTGTTGTTGCTATTTTCCAAACCAGACCTCGCTACTTTCGCTCATCCTCGGCGCTGCACCGGTCAGCGCGCACTGCATGAGGCGGTAACCACTAACCTGCCCATCTCAACCATACCACCGTCAATATCTTCGAAACGACGACCCACGACGACGACACCTTCGCAAACGATACGAACCGTCCCGCCTCTTGACGAGCATCCCTGTCTCTGCCCGCTGGGCGACCAAAGTTCTGGTGATCTTCTGGCGCCCAGCAGCAGCATTCCGTTCCTTCGCCGGCTAAGCCCCCGACATCATGACACCCCTCGCCATTTCTGTTCCCGATGGCTCGGGCTCGCCAAGTGCAACACGTCGGAAGTTTTCACTCTACGGGGACCGGTTACGGGATAGTGAAAACAACAGCCCCGTGCCGGGTGCCTCAACCGGCGATGCATCACCTTTTGCTTCGCCGTTGGCTTCGCCCCTCGGATCACCTCTTGCATCACCTCGCGTGCATATCGTGCCGTTTGGTGCTGCCTACCGCCATGCACGAGCTCCGTCAGACGAGTCACTCTCACAACTACCGCCTTTGCCAATGTCACCACGATGGGATTCGTTGTCCAACCCTGCTAAATTTATCCTGCAGCCCTCAGCATCGACCCCGGCATCACCATTCGAACCCCCACCACATTCTCCCTCACCTTTTGCATACGACACAGCCGCAAGCACGCCTATCGAATCCCGAAACGCCTCCCCGACATTTCCTCTGAAATCTACTTCGTCACTGGCTGATCTGCGCGCCTACGACAGCCCTCCAACGGCCGTGGAGAACTTCTCGCGGCCGCGGAAACAGAGCATTCGTCAGCCAATCACAGACGCGGCTAAGACCCGGGCCGCCCCCAGCGCCCCAAGCGCCTCAAATGCCCCCAGCTACAATGCCGCCGACCAGTACTTGGAGCTTGTCACCTCTCCTCAACATCCTCTCTGGCCTCCGACACGCCCCCGCGGCCCTTCTGTTTCGTCTTGTCAATCATCGTCGACCTATCACTCGGTCCTCTCTCCTCCCGGTAACGACTTATATGAGCCTCGAGCGCCCCGTGCTAGGACCACCAATGGTGCGACATCATCCGCCGCACGGCCGCCCTTGAGCTACACCAACAGCGGCTCGGCTTCCCCGAGCCCTGTCGTCGCCCCTTGGATGAGTGGTGAGGAGCTTCGCTCAAGCTTCCGCTCTCAATTCACAGAATCAACTGCTCCTGGCACCGCCGTCACAGAACGAAGCAGCGTCCTCACAAAGGACAGCTCCGTTACCTCGCTCTATCCCGGCCCAGAAGGGGACGCTGAGCCAGAGGGTGACGCCGACAACGAGCTGGACCCCGATCTCGACGAGCCAAGCCTTGAGGATGTTATGGGCATGTATGAGCAAGGCTTCGACGACGACGACGAAGACGACGACAACAACGACAATTATTCGGACTACAACGTCACCATGAACGCCCGCCCAGCTACCTTGACGTCGGACTGGGAGCCGCGTCGGAGCGTCTTAGATGCTACCGATGACGAGGACTTTCCCAAGCGGCCGATTCCAGAATCCGTCTCGACATTGGATGTCGAGATCCGAATGTCCAAGATGATCTTTACGTCTCCTGCCTTTACATCATCCGTACCCCATATCGCGGAAAAAGAACACTACAGCCGGGGAATCGCTGAAAAGCGCGACTCGGCCAAGTCTATCGACTCAGAACCCTCAATCAACTCCCAACAACCTACCTCTGCTACCGAACCTTCTGTTACACGCTCTCCATCCATTTCGACACCCATCTCTCCTCCCATCTCTCCACCTATCCCGGCACACAAGCCAGCCGAACGTCCCGACACCCCTGAATCTACCAAAAACCCCGAACCTTCACCTGAACCCCCTGTCATCACTGTGGCCGCCGCGCCCTCCGCGCCTGTTGAAGCCGAAGACCCGAACTCCCGTGATCGCTACGGCTTCAAGAAGGCGAACCAATACGTCACCCGGGAACAATACGACAACTGGAATGCTGGTTATACCGAGTACCTGGCCCGCCGTCGCAGGAAGTGGGCCCAGTACCTCAAGGACAATGCTCTCATGACAGATCATCCCAACCGGTTTCCAGCTCCCAACGCAAAGACCAAGCGGTTCGTGCGCAAGGGCATTCCCCCGGAATGGCGAGGTGCGGCCTGGTTCTACTATGCCGGTGGACCTGCGATCCTCGCCCAGCACTCGGGTCTCTACGACAAGCTGACCTTTAAGAGGGCCAAGGAGGTTGACGCCGAGGCTATCGAGCGGGACCTACACCGCACATTCCCGGACAACATTAAGTTCAAGCCTCCCGGTGGACCAGAGACGACGGCGTCAAGCAGCGCCAGGGAGAGCCGGACAACTATGACGGATTCCACCCGCAGCTCAAGCCCGGGTCCAGCCAACACCGAGGGAGAGCCACCCATCATTACGTCGCTGCGTCGGGTGCTTCACGCCTTTGCCGTGTACAACCCTCGAATCGGCTACTGCCAGAGCCTAAACTTTTTGGCTGGCCTCTTGCTTCTCTTTGTTGAGACGGAGGAGCAGTGCTTCTGGCTTCTCAACGTCATCACTGTCATTTACCTTCCAGGGACGCATGAGATGAGCTTGGAGGGCTCCAAGATTGATCTCGGTGTGCTCATGACTGAGATGCGTAACTCGATGCCCGCCATCTGGGACAAGATTGGCGGTGAGCTCGAGGCGGACCCCAACTCACGGCCGTCGACTGGCAAGTCAATGCGGCTTACTCGGGCACGGCGCAAGGAGCTACTACGCATGTCAACGCCAACAGACCGACTCCCACCCATTACGCTCTGCATGACAGCATGGTTCATGAGCTGCTTCATCGGAACTCTGCCGATTGAGACTACCCTCCGAGTGTGGGATGTCTTCTTCTACGAAGGTTCCAAGACGCTATTCCGCATCGCCTTGGCCATTTTCAAGCTGGGCGAGAACGAGATCAAGTCTGTGGCTGACCCCATGGAAATGTTTGGCGTGGTGCAATCGATGCCAAGGCGACTGATTGACGCCAATGCGCTCATGGAGGCGTGTTTCAAGCGGCGGAATGGCTTCGGGCATCTCAGCCAGGCCCAGATCGACGAGAAGCGCCAGGAACGCCGAGCCAAGGCACAGCTGGACCGAGTACGACAGGGGAAGAACCTCAACACGTGGAACGTGGCGCAATCAGACACAGAGGGCGGCAAGAGGAACATTTTCGGGAAGAAGAGGTCACCGACAGGTGCATGATGTCTCTACTCGGGTTCCCTCCCTTCGACTCTCATACTTGGACACTTACTCACACATTCACACTCCTTCATCTCTCCTACGACTTTTTCAACCTATTCGCCTCGGCATCCTGCATCCCACACCAGACACGGTGACGGAGCCGCCGAATCTAATCATGGGATGGCGTTGGACGGATGGCATCCATTGTTTGCTTCGTTCTTGATTCAACCTAGCCGGCACAATGTCTGCATTTCACACTTGATGTTTGCTTCTATTCTACCTTGTTCTCATTCACATCATGCATGTTCTGTTATTACCCGCAATACCCTTTTCGGGTGTTTACTATGTCTCACAAAAGAGGGGAGGGACCAGCGTTGGGCGGTTTGGAATGGACGGGATGGAATGGAAGGCCCCAAAAAAAGGAAGCTTGTTTTATACTTAATGACGATGGCTTACGGCTGCATTGCGAGAAGACCAAAAAAGCACTATACCACACCAGAGCACCTCGGCAGGTGAGGGAGAGCTCCCACAGGAAGGGGAACGGGAGCAAGTGGCAAGAGTCCCGTCGAAGAGGTGTTTGTTTTGATTGATATAGATAGGGGGGCCATATATGACTGGATAGAGGTTATTAGGGAGGAGTAGAATTTGGGGCCCTTTTTTGATACCCCAATGGAATGAAGATATTTCACGGTGAATGATCGAGTGCGTGCGTGTCTCTAATTATGTATGTCTTTCTTGTCTTGTGCTATTGTTTGTTTGTTTGTTGTGCATGAGTGCAAGTAAATAAATACAAGCCGAGACAGCCAGCTGAAAAGGCGTCCCTGATGAATTCATCCGTCCATTCATGATTGTGCTGTCTTCATTTTCATTCAATCGTTGTTTCGCAAGTTGTCAGGCATGTCTCGTAAGCCATGATGCCCAATGTCTGGCCAAAGCCCAACACATTGAGCTATCCAAATGACACGCCAAGTTTCCTTCTCTCCCTTTTTTTGATATCCCCATGATTTGTTTATGATTCACACCTCACACAACAGGTGGAAACACGGGCTCCCCCATGGCATACCTCTCAACGTGCTGCTTGGCAGTCTTGTCAAAAGCCTCCCGCTCAGACTGGTACTGCTGAGCAATACGCTCCTCAAGGGGACTATCAAGCTGAGGTTCCTCGAGAAGATTGGCAAGGGCCTCGAGGACGGCGCGGATCTTTGTGCTGGGCTTCCAGGCGTCGGGCTTGAGGAGGCCGAGGCAGATGTTGCCGAGAGAGTCGTTTGTCACGTTGGGGTGGTAGATGCGCGTGCAGAACTTGACGACGGGAGGCTTGAAGGGGTAGTCGGTGGGAAGGGAGAGGACGATGCCGAAGCGGCCTGGGTGGTAGGGCGTCGAGGGAGGGGGTTGGAGGGTGACGTGCCAGGTGTGGATGGACTCGTTGGGGGGGAGGGAGACGGTGAAGCCCTCGGGGGGTTCTTGGGAGATTTCGGCGAATTCCTGGGAGATGTGTTAGTGGGTAAGGTGTAAGAGAGGATATGAGGGGAGTTTGCCTTTGTGATGCGCTTGGTGGAAGACATTGTGACGGTTGGTGACTTGTAGAGTTGTGGTGTTGATTTCGGGGTTGACTCGTCCGATGGCGGGGCAAAGAAATCAAGAGCTCAAGAAGGCCAGCAACGTTCTCCTTCTTTCAACGACTGTACTTGTCTCGTAGTGATCAAATCGTCAAGACAGTATCTTACGCTGCGCTGGATTCGTATTCGTCAAGAAGATGTGTGTATTCAGCTGAGAAGAAAGAGAAAGAGAAGAAGAAGAGTTGGAGAAGGAAGGGAAGTTATGACGATGGTGGGGTAAAGGTGTGTTAGGCACAAGGTGAGTAAACAGTGGGGCCGGCTATGACACTAGAAGGAAGCGCTGAAACGAGTTGGTGCCTGGAAGTGACTAAAGTGTCATTGGATATTGATGTTTGCTAATGAATTAACTGCTGATGGCATATGGCATTGTTGGTTGGGAAAGTTGCTGTCAAGCTGCCTATTTAGGTCAAAGAACAAGGATGTATGATGCATCTTGTCTAACATATGGTAACCCAACCACCATGATGCATTAGGTAGTTGTTTGGCATATGAATATAACCATCTAAAAAGAGGCATCCCTTTGTTTGTTAGAGTTCCCTTTCTGCCGAGCAAAGTGAAGATGCTCCGCTTCGTAGACTATCGACAAACCATTGACAAACACCCTTGTAAGCATCCAGCTGCTCCCATGGCCTTCCACTTTAAGATGGCAAGCCGCCAGTCTGACTCATCATTTTGACCTACTGACCAAGCCATTTTGTTTTCTCAAGCATCCATGCATGACTGGCGGCCTTTGTAGCAGCCCTTCTGCTCTGTGATGATTGTTCTGACTTTCATGTTTATTACATTCGCCGTTCAATGGATATTGGCTATAAATGCCGTTGACTTCTGCAAAGTGTGACTTTAACCTCTGACTACGTCCCCCATTGGTACATCCAAGCGCCCTGGCAAAGCATTGGACTTGTCAACCGACGCCGCCATTTTCACACGATAGAGGGAGTGGTTTTGGGTGATTTATTTGTGACCTGAGAGCTGTTCTGTCGTGGCTCAAGGCGTGGATCGACTTAGTCGGGTTCAAGGACCTTGTGAGGGCTGCGTCGGAGGGCTGAAGCGATGGAGGCTTGCTTGACGCCTTTGATACTCGGATGCAATCTAGATATTGAACAGCTCTTGTAAATTCGGCAACAGGCTGTGCCTTTTGAGCATTGTTGTAGATCGATGCTTCGTCGCTAATGAGGCCAACTCTGCTGTTGATCAAGTTCCCCTTGCCCCTTGGAGACTTGAGCCACTTTTCTCTCAAGTATTACCGAGATTAATGCAAATACTACTTAAATTTCATTTCATGTTGAGTGTAATCCTTCAATCTAGTCGTTTTCAATTACTGTCTGTATCAAATGAAGTTCTTCAACCAAGACATTCAACTTATACCCACCATCCTCGGCCCCACCCTCGGTGAGTTCGGTCAAAGCATCTCTCCCCCACATGGTCCCCTGCATCCCACCTTGACCTTGACGAAAAAAAGTTGTTCGAGCTCTTCAACACCAAGTCTTGACCATCACCACCAACCTCTTGATCAACACCACACAATCTCTGTACCGAAATCGTCGCGTGACTATACATAATCTCGCATTTTAAAGAGCCATCGACGCTCTAGCCTCTACAATGGCCGCCAACGAATCCCAAATGCCCTTTATTCGCAACCTCGCCTCAAGCGGTTCGTCAATCCACCACCATTCTCCCCTTCAATTCTCTAACTCTTCTTCAGATCGCAAACTTCGTACCGCATCTCTCGAATCCCTCTCAACATTCCTCTCCTCCCGAACCACCCTCTCCGACACAGACGCCCAAAAGCTCTGGAAAGGCCTCTTCTACGCGCTCTGGATGACGGACCGTCCCATTCCCCAGCAGCGACTCGCAGCCGACCTCGCCAACCTCCTCTTCACGCTAAAGCCTACATGCGCCATCCCCTGGCTGCGCGGTTTCTGGGTCGTGGTTGGCGCTGGATGGACCGATATCGATGTGTTGAGGCTGGAAAAGTTTTTGTTGCTCGTGAGAAGGGTTTTTGCTGCGCATGTTAGACTCGCGAGGGAGAGGGGATGGAAGGATGGTGACGTCGAGGCCATTGTCGGTGTTTTGGCCGAGTACCCCTTTGACGTTGAGGGAGATTTGAGAAAGTCACCTGTGGGAATTAGACTGCACGCGCTTGACATCTGGGTTGACGAGCTGGAGCGCGAGCAAGCCCTCAAGGATGAAGCCGCGGCGGGTTTCGTCAAGGCTGTTGGAGAACTGGTGCAGGCTCTGAAGCGATGTCCCGTCAAGCCCGTGAGAGAGCGCGCGGGTGATAGTTACGAGGACGAGAGACTTCCATGGGCCGAGGCTGGTAGTGATCGTGAGGAGGATGATGAAGAATGGGGTGGTTTCGATGATTAGATGGGAACAAATAGGCGTAATGGCGTTGGGATGGAAAATTGTATTGGCCTTTTTACATGGACTTAGAGGTTGATACCAACTGGAAGAGATGTCACCATGATCAATCAGAGCAAATAACTACAAAGAGTGCCAAGTTCAAACGCTCTCGCTTGGGGATATCCATTTCATAAGCAACATAGACTGCCTTTTGCTTCCATGACGGGACACATTATATCAGCAACTGTGCCAGTGACAACTACCAAACCCTTTCATCTCCTCCAATCGTCTCATCATCATCGCCTCCAATGTCATACCCCATCTCCCTGGCTTCCTCTTGTCGCTCTCTTTGAACTCTCGCCTGGTGCCACGCATCAAATTTGGCCTGTTGCTCTGGTGAGTGTACACGACGTTGAACGAGGCCCTTCTTGCGTAGGCGTCGACGGTGTTGGCGCTTCTGCTCAAACGAGAGCCCACTGATGTCGACCTTGGTGATATCTCGATCGCGCAACGCATCCATCGCGTCGGCGATCCAGTCCTGTAGCTCTTCACCCAGTTGCTCGACCATCACGCGACCACGACCGCCAGTAGTCCACTGATCCAGCTTGACGGGGATCGCGGTGCCAAAAGTCGGGTCGTTGATGGACCACACGCAAGGAGTTTTGCCGCAGCGGGTTGGGCGACAGAACATGGCGCACATGGCCGACTCGGCGGCGTACCAAAGCGAAAGCACAAGGACCAAGAGTCCGAGCCAAGATAGACGGAAAGGCTTGCGACGGTAGAGACGTGGGATGGGAAACTGGATGTACGAGACGGTGTCGGTGCTGGGATGCGTAGTGTACACAGCGGGGGCGCTGTGTTTGTCGGGGAGGAGATCCATGTTTTCAACAGCTTTCGCGGGTTTCTCAACCTTCTCGGGTTTCTTGAGTTCCTCGCTTTTTAACGGTTCGAGCTTGGCTGTCTCGTCGTCAGAGACCTTGACTTCGACCGGCTTATCTTCGATCTTCTTCTCCTCGTTCGCCTTCTCCTCGTCTACCCGGTTCTTGTTGACCTGATCAGAGAGGCGCTCTATTCCCCTTGCCGCCGTGTGAATCCCGTAGAGGCTGCTCTTGAGGGTATTGTTCATGCGCGTGAGGCGGACAAGGTCAGAGTTGTCGTTTTGCGGGTCGATCTGGTTGGTCCTCGTGTTGAGTTTTGTATCAAGCTCCAAGTCAAAGTCGAAATCGTCATCAAGGGAGGGATTCTGGGGTAGGTTGTCAAGGAGAGCTTCAAGATCTTGTGACGGGGCTTTGCGGCCTAAAAGAACCTCCTCGAGGTCATCCAAAGTGGAGTCGTCAATGTGATGCACGCGCTGAAGCTCTTTGAGGTCGTCTTTGACGGATGGTAGCCTTGCAGAGTTTTTTAGTGGTGCTCTGCGCCGTGACAGTGAACGAGGGCGCCGTCTTCTCACGCCCGTCGACGAGGTTCTGGTTCGGGGTTTCTCGTCTGTCCCGGGATCTGATGCCGTGTCCCTGTCACTACCACTCGTAGCCACAAGCTCCGTTCTCTTATTCCGGAGTGATGTCGATCTTGGTCGTGGTGGTCGCTCTTCTCGTTTCGATGGCTTCTCCTTTTCTTTGTCCTCCTTAATCTCAATCTTCTCCACCTTGGCCGTCGCTGGTGTTTCCACGTATGCACCCGTAACCCTTGGTGTTGGCATCGTCAGGGGGTCTGGCTTGGGAGCCCGGGGTGTTGCTTCGACATCCTTCTCATCGTCCGACTCTGGCACCGGTGAAGGAGCCCTCATAGAGCCCTTCTCCGACTGGTTGTCTGCCGGCGCAAACAGGTTGGCCTCAGCCGTGATCCGATCCGTGGGATCCGCCTCCGAATTCATGGATTTCTTGCTCTTGACAGAATCCGTTGAACGATTTCGGCTTAGACCAGCAAATCCAACTGTAGGTTTGCTATCGGGATCGCGATTTGGTCGATGGAAACGATGCCGCAGTCCATTGTTAGCGGAAGGTAACGGAATCGCCGATGCAGTGTCAGGTTTGGGGTCAGGCTTTGGGTCCAACGGTTGAGATACCGGCTTGTCACTGTCGGCCAGCCGTCGAGGCTCCGCCTCTGGAGCAGGGCTTAAGCTTGTAGCCCTGGCCAGCTGTCGCAATAGATCTCGTGAATCCGTGCGTCTGTGTGACAAGCTGGGTCGTACAACGTCTTGAACGTCATTTGATTCATTCCCATCCTTCTCGTGTGTTTCTATGCTGGCTCGTCGTGACTTGTAGACCGTCACGGGGGTATCAGGTATTTGCTCGCCCGCAATCTCAAATGCAGACTTTGGTCGAGGTAGTTCCCTTTTCGCAGGTTCAGGCGATGGTTTCTTCTCTGGTACTATCCCACCGCTCGTCTGTGGTCGATTTTCTTCTGGTGACAGCGAACGTATCATGGAATTTTGCTCCCGGATCTCCCCTAACCTGATGGAAGCAAAAGACCTCCTGGGAATTCCATTGATTTCACGTTGTCGTATGTCGTCCAGTTTGGTGTTCCTCGGTCTCGCCGCGTGGCGATCTGGTATGGGTATTTGGTGTTCGACCCTTTCCTCACGGTCTCTAATCTCATCCAGCTTGGTATTGTGTGGCCGGGGCAGTTCAAGGGGAATATCGCTCCCAGTCTTGACCTCTCTCGTCCGGATCTCATCCAGTTTCGTGTTGCGCGATCCAGGCGGTGCCACTCTCGTCCGTGAGTTGATATCAACTTCACTGCCCTCATCGAAATGGATCCGATTCGCAAACGGCCGGGCACCCATTCGAATTCTCGGACTATCAGAAACCTGT